TGATTTTTCTGACCACGCCTTCTGTAGTATTGTTTCTATTTCTAATATCAAAGTTTACTTTGGTCGTGTACCACATTTTATTTCCCCCAGGTAGCTCCATTTAATGAAATTCGTTGTTGTTGTTAACCATTTGACTTTTAATAAAATTATGACATTTCATCAAATTCATGCTACCTGATCACTGGAAGAATTTTTTTTTCAAAGCAGAAGATTTTATCAGTACATTCAAAGATGTGGAATATGATGGACTTGAAAATTATGCCGGCTACATAATTTCGTAAATGGGGTTGATGACTAAGTTTCAGACTTTGTACTTTAAGCGACGATATGTTCATTGTTTAGCGGTCTGTTCAAGTCGACTTCAGGTTTTTGGCATATATTAGAAACTTTAAATTCAAAATTTGTGAAAGTTAATGGTGATAAGCTAATCACAAAGCCTAATTTTTTGCAAAATCTCATGAGAAATTAAAACTAATTTGTGCCAAAATATAACAAGGTTTTATTTGCAAAGAATATTCTTTAGAATTAGATTTTTAAATCGCAAGATTGTATTCAAAATAAGAAAATGAAAAAATAACAGCATTGCGCATGGTTTTTGTTATAAAATAAAAAGAACAATTACCATGAAGTCATCTTTAATACTTTATATCAGAGACATAACTAAATATTATAAGAGAAAATAATAAAAGTCAATCAATAATCATTATATTAAGATAAATATGTCTCAAAATAAGTCTCAAAATAAAAATCTTTGAAGACTTAAAAATATTTATCTCGCTGGAAATTATTTTAAAAAGACTTCTATTATATAAGTCTTAAAATAATAGTTATCGATGACTTAAACAAATTTCTCACACATAATTATTATCAAAAGACTTATAATTCTTGCGAATATTTTGATGACCTATTTAAAAACCCAACAATAAAATAATTATTATTCTGGGTCTCTGCTTTATATTTTATATATTTTTAATAAAAAAAATGCGAGCTACGTAAGTAAAAAAAGTACCAAGCACTGATAATGGGTTTTGATTTGAAATATTATTACATTGGTATAAATATAGGAAGGAAAATACTCCGATTTATTGTTTTAATATTATCAAAGTGACAAGACCGTTGATAATACTCACAATTTATGAAACTTCAAAAAATGTTATTATCCCCCAAAAGTGGTTTATTGAAACTAACTTCTTTTTTGTATCATGAAAGTTCTTTTTCCTTCTGTCAGTAAACTGTTTTTTTTTTGTTACAAATAGTATAAATAAGCAATGGGAAATAAGGCAAAATTTGTTTTATTTCCAACCTTATTTAGAAATAAAGCAAAACTCAGATTTTGGTATTATTTCCCAATTAAACGTGAAATAAAGCAAATTTTCCGTTATTGCCGTTGGTGTTATTTAACCCCCCCCCCATTTCCATACCAAGTTCCAGAACTCTACCATTAATACTTCCAGAGATACGTAGTATGAAAAATTTGGTTTGTATGGGAGATGTCACACCCCTTTTTACAATAGCTTAAATTTTTCTCCAAGGGTATGCGATTGATTTCGTATATCTCCATACCAAGTTCCAGAACTCTACCATGCACACTTTCAGAGATATGTAGCATGAGAAATTTGGTTTGTAAGGGAAGTGCCACGCCCCCTTTACATATAGATTTTTTTTAACGTAAAACCATCCTTGGGACACGTGCGGCAGGTGGCAGTTTCAAAAAAATCGGTTCAGCCGCTCTCGAGCCTTGCGAAAACTTAAAAACGGCTTTCAAAATATATATTAGCTGAGATATATTATATATTATAATTATATTTTGACAGTATCCGTTGTTTCTGATTGGCGCAAAAAAATCTTGCCTAGTGACGAATTCGCCCCTTGATATGGTCGTTGCTCAAAGCTATTTATATTCGAAATTGCATTAAAATTGGAAAACAGGAATCTATAAGCTTATCCAGGCAAAAAGCTACCTACGTACCGAATTTTAAGCAAATCGGACCATAAAAACGATTTCTTCGAATTGATCGGTCCCTGGTCCACTTCTCGGAAAACATGGATCATATATGCTAAAAAGATACCTACGTGCCGAATTTAAAGCAAATCGGACCATAAATACGATTTCTTCGAATAAATCGGTCCCTGGTCCACTTCTCGGAAAAGATGGATCACATATGCTAATGCATGCCAAAAAGCTACCTACCTTCCGAATTTTAAGCAAATCGGACCATAAATACGATTTTTTCAAATAGATCGGTCCCTGGTCCACTTCTCGGAAAAATGGATCATATGTGCTAATATATGCTAAAAAGCTACCTACGTACCGAATTTTAAACAAATCGGACCGTAAATACGATTTTTTTCAAATATATCGGTCCGTGGTCCACTTCTCGGAAAAAATGGATGATATATGCTAAAAAGCTACCTACGTACCGAATTTTAAGCAAAATGGATCATATGTGCTAATATATGCTAAAAAGCTACTTACGTACCAAATTTTAAGCAAATCGGACCATAAATGCGATTTTTTCGAATATATCGGTCCGTGGTCCACTTCTCGGAAAAACTGGATCATATATGCTACAAAGCTACCTGCGTACCGAATTTTAAGCAAATCGGACCGTAAATACGATTTTTTCGAATAGATCGGTCCCTGGACCACTTCCCGGAAAATTGGATCATCATCATTTTAAGCAAATCGGACCATAATAAGATTTTTTCGAATAGACCGGACCCTGGTCCACCTACCCGAAAAAAGTAAATATTTGGTAGCCTAAAACATGGTGGTTACCGAAAGCTATTTACATACAAAATTTGATGAAAATCGGACTAGCCGTTCACGAGATTACCTTTTACAGAAAAAAGGGACTTCTCTTTATATAATAAGTATAGATGAGCATGAAATGGTATTATAACTTAGGTCCGATGTTTGTAAGTACCAGAATAAGAAGAGATAGACCCATTAAAATGTATACTTAAATGATCAGAGCGTCGAGCTGAGTCGATTTAGCCATGTCCGTCTGTCCGTCTGTCTGTCTGTTTGTATGCAATCGAGTCTCTCAGTTTTCGAGATATCCTGATGAAAATTGGTAGGTGGGTGTATTTTTATAATGTATTAATCATTTGTCGGAACCGGAAGAATCGGACCACTATAACATATAGCTGCCATACAACTGATTGTTCAGATATGAGATTCTTCGTTATAACTTCTCCATTTATGCAGCTAAGAACATGAAATTTTGCAATACTTCCACCCATTATCAACAGAGAACCTAAAGTGGAAATTACAAAGATCCGGTCACTATAACCTATGGCTCCCGTACTACTGATTGTTCAGATATAAGATTTTTCGTTATAACTCCCCCATTTAAGTAGCTAGTAACATGAAATTTTGAACTGTTGTCACTCATTATCAAAAGAATACTTTCAGAGAAAATGGCGAAGATCGGGTCGCTATAACCTAAGCCTCCATACAACTGATTGTTCATATATGAGATTTTTTGCCTTTACTTCTCCATTTATGCAGCTAGGAACATGAAAATTCTCACCGATTTCACTCATTATTAACAGAATATTTACAGTGAAAATAACAAAGATCGGGGCACTATAACATATATCTCCCATTCAACTGATTGTTCAGTTATGAGAATTTTCGTTATGACTCCTCGATTTATGCAGCTAGGAACATGAAATTTTGCAATACTTCCAACGATTAGCAACAGAATTCTTACAGTGAAAATAACAAAGATCGGGTCACTTTTACATATAGCTCCCATACAACTGATTGTTCAGATATGACATTCTTTGTTATAACTTCTAAATATATGCAGCTAGAAACATGGTATTTCGCACTATTTTCACCCATTATCGACAGATAGTTTACAGTAAAATTAACAAAGTTCGGGTCACTGTAACTGATTGTTCAGATAGGGGATTTTAATGTAAAACTAATTTATTTGGACAGCTAAAACCGATAAATTTCGTAAACTATTGTATAAATAATAATACAAAGTCTACTGTGAAAATTGTCAAAATCTATGCTGTATAAGCCTTATCTCGTATACCACTGATTGTCCCTATACCAGTTTTTGCGATATATCTCCTTTATGTAGGAAGCTAAACCCATGAAATTGTGTTACCGGTTTACATACCCATCACACAGCAGTGAAAATCACTTTGATTGGTGCTATATAAGGTATATCTTCCATACCTCTGATTGTTTAGATAAGATTTTTTATATATGTAACTCCTCTATCTATGTGTGCTGTGAATATATAAATTTTTTCAAATGCAGTAATCTGTTAAAGTAAAGTTTTCAGATGTTCATGAAAGGTATGAAGCCTTCGGCATAGCCGAAGATAGCACTGCTCTTACTTGTTTTTAGATAAATTCAATGATATTTAAAAAAAAAAGTAAAACCTTATTGCATATCTGCAGTCCAAGAGTTTTAATTTGACCTGTTATGACGGCATTGCTTATTATATAATTTATATTCAATTGTTCTACAGGTGGCAACTCCTTTCGAAAAAATAAAACCATGTTGCACATTGCTACAGGTCAAGCGCTTTAATTTGACACCCCATTTTTGAAAATCGAACGAACGGTGCAGATCTTTTATGCGGAACAAAAAATGCCTTCGCGTAATATTTTGAACTTAATTTTTTAAAGGGCGGCAACTCTTTTCCAAAAAGTTAAGCCTTATTGCCCACCTAAAGTCAGAGCCCTTTGATGTGACACCTCACTTTTGAAAATCGAACGAACGGTGTGGATCTGATGGCATTGATTATTAAATTATTTGAATGCAATTTTTTATCAGGTGGCAACTCTTTTCGAAAAAGTAAAACCTTATTGCACATCTATAGACCAAGTGCTTTAATTTGACATCTCATTTTTGAAAATCGGGCGAACGGTACAGATCTTTTATGCTGCACAAAAAATCCCTTCGCGTATTATATATATACATAGATACATATGTGCTGTAAATAATAGTTTTTTTCCTTTATCAATTTCAGGTGTATCCGCTGAGGTATACTATGTTCGCGAAGGTCACGTAAACAATTATGCTCTCAATTTCATAGTACCAGTGCCGGCGAATGTGCGGGACATTACTTTTACCTGGCAAAGTTTGGCCGGTCGCCCACTTCCTTACAGCATTAACGTGGTCTCAACAGATCAGGAAATTCTGCCGCGCCCCTTCATTAACATCTCCCAGATCGGTGAAATACCAACTAACGAGCAAACGTTTGCTATCGGCCTCAAATGCTCGGGTATACGCGCTTCCGAGGTGGACGTAACAATTTCAATTGAGGTTATACTCAATCGCGCACTCAGCAATGTAACTCATTTGGTTTTTCGACGCAAAAGGATTTGCCTACTCGCCGAACCAGAAGAGAACACAGTGCTTGGACCTGTGTTATTGGAGACCGCTGTGCCACCTCCCACTGGCATATTGACCATCATTGTTAGCAGCTCTTTGGCCTTGGCACTCGTTATCATTTTGCTCATGACCGCCTACTGTGTGCGTCGTTCGGCGAAGCGTCAAAACCATGGTCAACTCATGCGCACGTCGAGCTTCCAGCGTCTCAACACGAACGTCCCATGCCAGCAGTCTGCCACTTATATCGGTCCACCGTCTATAATTTCACCTATCCATAGTTCTTTGCCACGCAAAGTGGGAACTCAACAGCCGGAAGAGTTGCATAGGCGCATATCAGAGTTGACTGTGGAGCGTTGCCGTGTGCGTCTGTCAAATCTACTTCAAGAGGGTACGTTTGGGCGCGTCTACCGTGGTACCTACAATGACAACCAAGATGTTCTGGTGAAGACAGTGGCGCAACATGCAAGTCAAATGCAAGTCTCTCTACTGCTACAGGAGGGTATGTCGCTGTATGGCGCTTCCCATCAGGGCATTCTCTCGGTTTTAGGCGTATCGATTGAAGACCACACCACACCTTTCGTGCTCTACTCAGCGCCGAATACCACTCGTAATCTGAAGCTTTTCCTGTTGGATCCGTCTTGCGCACGGACGATAACCACTGTGCAGATTGTGATGATGTCCACCCAATTGGCGCAGGCTTTGGTACACTTACATAGCCATGGAGTTGTACACAAGGATATTGCAACGCGAAACTGCGTGTAAGTATTAGAGTTTAAATGTAGCGAAACTTTTAAGAATTTCTTAATATTTAATTGGACAAAACTTATTTTTATCGCATATAAATATGTATAATCATAATGGTGACGTGCAACAATGTCAATGGACCCTGCAGGAAATGGGACTATTTTGTAACTAACTAGCAGTCGACTAGTGATAACTATTTATTAACTATTTCCTTTGGCCGTAACTAACTACTTTTGAAGGGCGATGGCCGCAAAATAGTGAGAACTAGTTTTCTCTTCATTAGATGTGAACTAACTTGTAGCTAACTGCTTTTGGACATAAACTATCAATAAAGAAAAAAAAACAAAGATTTTTTAAATATATTATATTTTTATATATTTACTTATTTTATTTAACTTTACATATTTGCTTATTTGTTTACACGTTCTCTTGTAGGTGCTCTCATATTTGAATTCGATCAGACATAGCATTAGTGGTGGCAAACTATCGATGGCACTTTCACTGGCACCTTTTTTCACTATCGATAGTTTTTCAAAACTATCGGGTATTTTCACTATCGAAAATTTTCCAAATATAAGACACAAAAATGGTGAATGTGCATTTTATAAAGCGGCAATACTTTTATATAAAAGAATATATGGCAACTATATTGGCCTAACGTCATCAGTAGAATCGGAACGAATGTACAGTAAAGCAGCTTTAATAGTAAACGAAAAAACGGCGCACCTAAAACCTAAAATTGTTGGCATGCTATGTTTCTTATGGTGATTTCGTTTCTTCCAAAAAATGTTGCCCTTCCCCGGTGTAAAATGTGTTTCATGTTACACTCAACCCTGTAAAAAGGCATGGTTTCGCACATTTCAAAATATTAATAATATTGTCGTTTTAACCAACCATCTGATTTTCACAGGGTAGAGAAGACACGAACAGGAAATTTTCTCACCCTTTGCCTTTAATTTAGAATCGAACACGATAAGAGAAAGGGGCAATCAAAAGACGAGATTTTTTTGGTAGAAACAAAATCACCATTAAAAAAACAATTGGCTTTAGAAAGCAGAAAACGTAAATATGTTTAGTTTTCAAATCATACTTTCATTATTAAGGTAGGTCCTTATGGTCTTTAAAAAACTATACTTAATGCAATGGGTCGTATTCATAGTCAAAATTAAGTTGGCACTTAAAGCTAGTTGCAGCTTTTTGACATAATTTTGGATAGGTTATATGTCAATAAAGTTACAACCAACTTTAAGTACCAACTTAATATTGACTATGAATACACCCCAATTAGATTTTTTATCTTTTTCAAAATAAGGGACTATCGATAAACTATCGGTAGTTTGAAAAAAATATCGCCCACTATTGATAGTCGCCATTATCGACAGTTTACCACCTCTACATCACATCAAAATGATAATATAAAAATTTCGACCTTTATTTTATTTGTCCTGAATATGAAAAAGAATCTGCGAAGTGCAGAAAAAGTGTATTGAAAGTAATTTTTGAATGAGGATATTTAAATAGAAACTAAAGAAAACAAACTCCCGATAACGTCTGCATGACCCCTGCACGACTTTGCAACTAACTTAGTTTTGTCATAGCTAATTAAAAGTTAGTTATTAATCGAAATCCCGCAAAAAACCTAACTAGAAGTTGGTTATTTCAATCAACCGATAATTTTTTTTCTGCAGGGGAATTAATGTCAATTGACAAAAATTCACTTTTGTAATATCATTCACATTAGTTCAATTCGGAGAAGATCGAGCCTTGCTCCTTCCAAAAAAAGATTTACTAAATCCGATTTTTATATACTATACTAGCCGGCCACGGATGAGCGAGGCTTCGCCACGCGCTGAATGTATGCGTATGTATGTACATTTACGTATTTGGAGAAAGAAATCATATGTCATTATGTACTTCGTTTATTATATGCTTAAAAAATCGTGTCTAAATCCATTCAGTAGCGTGGTCAAAATATCTCGCCTTTCCTTTATACTATGTATAGAAGATAGTAATTTTAAAAAGGTGGCAACCCTACTCAAAAAATTAAAGTGTTTGTACATGCGAAGGCCATGCACTTTCATTTGGTATCTCATTTTTATATCCAACGAACGGTGCGGATCTTATAGTTTTTAAACAGGTGGCAACCCTTCTCAGAAAAATAATACATTATTGCACATCTAGAGGCTAAGTCTTTTCATTTGACAGTGACGGTGCAGAACTGACGCTTACGCTTATTAGGCTTGAATATAGTAATTTTCTTAACAGATGGCAGCCCTATTAAAAAAATAAGACATTAGTGATTTCTAGAGACCAATCGCTTTTATCTGACACCTCATTTTCTGTAATCCAACGAACGGTGCGGATCTTATAGTTTTTTACACAGGTGGCAACCCTATTAAAATTCTAAATAAAAAAGGTCACTCTCCTATCGATACAGAATATATTAGAGAAAATCTCGTCAAAATCCGTTCACTTCGCTCGACTTTCCTTTATACTATGTATATGTAGATAGATTTCATAAAAATGTGGGTCAATTCATAACAAATGTCCCAAGCGCGCTGAGCGGTGCATAAGAACCTACTTCTGGACTAGCCGGGAATCAGGCAAAAAATGGGAACGAAAATTCGAAAAGTATGACTTCTCTAGATTTTATTTATTTATTTATTTACGGGCTATCAGATGGGCTATGCGTTATGAAAATCTTCCGATTTTCATTGTGAAAATTCGAAACGAAAATTTATTTGTAATTTTTCTCAATTATGGTAATTTGTAAATTTTTTGTAGTAATTTCAATCGACAGATCAGGTCTTTTTACATAGAAATCATTAATAAACAAGTAAGAAAGTCTAAGTTCGGGCGTAGCCGAACATTAAATACCCAGCGCAAGTATTAGATATATGTTTTTCACCATTCCGAAAACTACCGCTCCATAGTAAGCCAGGGAGAGGGGTAGGGTGTTAACACCCCACTATTTTAAACATTTTCGATAGAACGTTCAGTTAGACATAATGAGATAAACTTATACAGTCATATGTCACCGGTATCACGCCCATTTTCCAAAATTCCAAATACTATTACTTCTTTTCAAGGGATTGTACAAAATTGGAAATAAATTACTGCAACTGAGGTAATTATGTTTCTAACGAAACTTTTTGGAGTCGTTTCAATTTTTTGATCAAAATCACTTATGTTTTTTGTGCAATTGAAAAACTGGAAAGACGGTTCAGTGCACTAGAGATGTCAGTTTTCAAAAAACATCAATGCATCGATACATCGACTATTTATACATGGAGTGGAAAACTTTCTATGCATCGAGGCAAAACATCGATATTTTCGATTCATCGATCTTTTTCCGACATCCCTAGTGGCAAGCACAATAACTACACCGAGTACAAATTGGTAGAAGGTTACCGAGATACATATATGTGATTATAAGTGAGCGGTGCCACGCCCATTTTCCAAAATTTTATTAAAAGCGTATTTCTTGTTAAGAATTATTGCAAGCATAAATTTTCAATAAATTAGCTTTAATATTTACTGATTTATCGAAGATTTCGTATTTCTCTAAATTACCGTTATATGGGATGTGGGTTATTGTCCTTATTTTTCGTCTAAAAATTATTGTAAATATCAGTTTTTAGTGAATACCCTTCAGTAGTTATTAAAATATCGCAGTTTTCGTATTTCTGAAAACTACCGTTATATGGGAGGTAGGCGTGGTTATCGTCCGATTGTGCCCATTTTCAATACCATCCGTCCTATGCTCGAAAGAAGTGCACGTACCCTGTTGCGTTAAGATATCTCAATTTTTACTCGAATTATCCTGTGTACAGACGGGCGGGCAGGCGGATCGCTTAATCCATTTCTCTTTTCATTCTGATCATTTATACATTTTTATACATTCGTCTATATCTATCTCGATTGGTTTTGCCTGTTACAAACAACCGTTATGTGAACAAAGTTATAATACCCTTGTGCACAAGTGCGCTCGGGTATAAAATGAAACTTTTTTGGGTTTTCCGAGTTAGCACAGTATATACAGTAATAAACCTTTTTGAGTACTCCTCGGGGGTAAAATATGCTCAGGGTTGATAATGAGAAGGACCTTGTCTTTTGCTGATTCAGAGTTGCATACAAAATTACAGTGGTATGAAAGGGTGCAGCAACCATACTAATCAGAGTGGCACAGGTAGTTTTGTAAACACACACTTTTCTTATAATTTTAATGGACCATTGAATGTGTTGGCTGAACTTATGACCGCCATGACCAACGCACTCACCAACCAAATGCGTGTCTTGAATTTATACGGAAGCAATTCATAGCAATTGATATCGCATCTGTGTATGATTCATATTTGTGATATTCTATACATTGATGTTGAGTATTTTTGAGGAGTTCCGCTCAAACTTGGGTATGCTTAATGAGCGCTGTCTGGGCGAATGCGCTGGCAGGCACTGGAGTCTCTATAACTAACCAAACCTTATTTTTTTTTGGAATAAAAGATTTAAATATACTCGGAAATTTAGAGTTTTCTTTGATAAATACACAAAATTCACGTTTTTTAATAAAAAAATACGATTGAGTTGCCGCTTTATAGAAACACAAGCGTTAATTATGTAGTTAACTATTGATATTATTCTTAATTAAGCATTGATACTATACTTAATCTACATCTTGTTCATAAATAACATAATTATATAAATTTTATCCTCAAGAAGACCTTTTTCTAATCATCAGGCGAAATTCCCAACAGTAAGTGTTGCCGTGCGCAACGTTACCGACGATTTTGTGACCGGAAAATTTTATTACCAAAAAATGCTACCAGCTCTTGTCACCGCGATGCTAGGTACGTTGGTAATGCAGTGCAAATAATCAGCGATTCAGCTATGAAGAATTGTGCAAATTCTGAGATTGCATATTTCACGGGGCAATACTTTGTTACCAGCTTATGAGATGGTAACAAAATTTACCGGTTACAAGAGTACACAGAATGCGAAAAGGGTTTTAAAATTGACAGGAACTTTATTTACCGGTTACAAACTTTTTATTACCAATGCAGAATAGACCGTTAAGCTCGCTATATCTCAGATGTTTGTGTATCGATCGACTTGAAATTTCCACACAATAAACTACGAACTATTCCAAAGAATTCAAGTTTAACAACACTTTTTAATACTAATTCCAAATAAAAATAAAGGCTCCCAAACTTTTTATGAGAATTGAGAAGTGCTTTTTTTAAATGCAAAAGTTGTGTTATTAAGTTAAAAAAAAATAAAAATTTGTTTTAATACAGTATTGTAGATTGCACGTTTAGCAGTTTAGCGCGCTCCAAAGCGCTTTATAACTCGGAAAAATCAAAAATGCCCCTCTTTTTATTAATGACTTCTATGTAAAAAAACCTGATCTTCAATAGAGATGATTAAAAACAAAATTAAAAATGATCATAATTTAGAAAAATTACAAATAAATTTTCGTTACGAATTTTCACCATGAAAATGGGAAAATTTTCGAAAACGCATAGCACCTATCCGATGGTCCGTACAAAAATCTAGTGAAATAATATTTTCCAAATTTTGGTTCCTATTTTTTGTCTGCTTCCCAGCTAGTCGAAGAGTAGCTTGTTTTGCACCGCTCAGCGCGCTTGGGACTTGTGACTCATATGCATATTGTAAATAAACTTATTTACAGGTTGAAAGACATATTAACTCAACTTTCTTATGTCCTTATTGCAGGCGCGAATAATCGCAGAACATGATAAAATTTTTCGTATAATAAATTATATTATGTACATATATCGAATGGAATTTGATATTTATAAATTAAATATTTGTTGGTCGAAGTATTTGCTTGTTATTCTTATATAAATCAAAAAGACGCTATTCCTGTCTTCTGTAAGTTTGAAAGGTTAGTAATATGTATTTTTGATGACGTTAATACACATTTATTTTGTGAATTTAAGTTTAAATAACAAAATTAACTTTTCGAACATTACATATTCCACTTTTTGAGGGTGAATCAATTCCAAAGTGACTTAATGTCAATTGACATTATTTCACTTTTGGCCTGCGTACTAATGTCATTGACATTAGTTCCCTTACAAAAAAGAATTTATGTCAACTGACATTAATTCCATTGAGACTATTGCACGTCACCAATCATAATTTTTTCGCTTTCCTCTCTTTCCAGCATCGATGACCAGTTACGCGTTAAGTTGTCAGACAGTTCGCTCTCTCGCGATCTCTTTCCGGGCGATTACAATTGTTTGGGTGACAGCGAAAATCGTCCTGTAAAGTGGCTTTCTCTGGAAGCTTTGCAGCACAAGCAGTTCTCTGAAGCAAGCGACTCTTGGGCGTTTGGCGTACTTATGTGGGAGTTGTGTACATATGCGAAACAGCCTTACTCAGAGGTAGATCCTTTCGAAATGGAACATTATTTGAAGGACGGCTATCGATTAGCGCAACCATTCAACTGTCCAGATGAGCTGTAAGTATATAAATTGGTTTGGGTAGACGTGTTTTTTAGTAGGATAATAAGTTTAATACTAGCAGAGCCAGTGACATTTTTTCGTCATTATTTAGTTAAGGCCTATTTGCTGCCAGAGCTATATGGGGGTATGTTGAGTTGTCATCCTTGAAATTTGACCCTGGGTAGCAATGGGAGGCAGAACGCCCTTAACTTGTAACAAGTAGGAGCAGCGCTGTCTTCGGCTATGCCGAAGACTTCATACCTTTCATGAGTAACTGAAAATTTTACTTTAACAGATTACTGCATTTGAATAAATTTATATATTCACAGCAGGCATAGATAGAGGAGATACATATATAAAAAATCATATATAAATAATCAGAGGTATGGAAGATATACCTTATATAGCATCAATCTAAGTGATTTTCACTACTGTGTGATCGGTACGTAAACCGGTAACACAATTTAATGGGTTTAGCTTCCTACATAAAGGAGATACATATATCGCAAAAACTGGTATCTGAACAATCAGTGGTACAAGATATTATGATTATACAGCATAGATTTTGACGATTTTCTCAGTAGACTTTGTATTATTATTTAAAAAATAGCTTACGAAATTTATCGGTTTTAGCTGTCCAAATAAAGGAGTTTTACAGTAAAACCCCATATCTGAACAATCAGTTGTATGGGGGCAATAAACAGGTTATAGTGACCCGATCTTTGTTAATTTTATTGTAAACTTTCTGTTGATAATGAGTGAAAATAGGGCGAAATTTCATGTTTCGAGCTACATAGCTGGAGTAGTTATAACAAAAAATCGCATATCTGAACAATCAGTTGTATGGGAGCTATATGTAAAAGAGACCCGATTTTTTTTTATTTTCACTGTATATTCTGTTGTTAATGGGTGGAATTATTGCAAAATTTCATGTTCCTAGGTGCATAAATGGAGGAGTTATAACGAAAATTCTCATAACTGAACAATCAGTTGTATGGGAGATATATGTTATAGTGACACGATCTTTGTTATTTTCACTGTAAGTATTCTGTTAGTAATGAGTGAAAACGGTGCGAATTTTGATGTTTCTAGCTGTATAAATGAAGAAGTTATGGCAAAAAATCTCATATCTGAACAATCAGTTGTATGGTGGATATAGGTTGTAGCGACCCGATCTTCGCCATTTTCACTGAAAGTATTCTTTTGATAATAAGTGACAACAGTGCAAAATTTCATGTGTCTAGCTGCATAAATGGAGGAGTTATAACGAAAAATCTTATATCTGAACAATCAGTTGTATGAGAGCTATAGGTTATAGTGACCCGATCTTTGTAATTTTTACTCTAAGTTTTCTGTTGATAGTGGGTAGAAGTAATACAAAATTTCATGTTCCTAGCTGCATAAATGTAGAAGTTATAACAAAGAATCTCGAATCTGAACAATCGGTTGTATGGAGGCTATAGGTTATAGCGACCCGATCTTCGCCATTTTCACTGTAAGCATGTTTTTGATAATGGATGGAAATATTGCGGAATGCCATGTTCCCAGCTGCATAAATGGAGAAGTTATAACGAAAAATCTCATATCTGAACAATCAGTTGTATGGGAGCTATATGTTATAGTGGTCCGATTCTTTCGGTTCCGACAAATGATTAATACATTATAAAAATACACCCACCTACCAAATTTGATCCGGATATCTCGAAAACTGAGAGACTAGATTGCATACAAACAGACGGACAGACAGACAGACAGACAGACGGACAGACAGACGGACAGGCGGACATGGCTAAACCGACTCAGCTCGCCGTTCTGATCATTTAAGTATACATTTTAATGGGTCTATCTCTTCTTATTCTGGTACTTACAAACATCGGACCAAAGTTATAATACCATTTCATGCTCATGAAAGGTATAAAAATCACCAACCAAAAATATGATTTAGTTAACCCAAATTGACCCCGTTTTGCCATATGGCAACGCAAAATACATCATGTTTAAGAGGGTGTAAAACAAAAAGCGCTTACTTCAAAATGCTTATATGTACGTTAACTAATTCCTAAAAGATGTATCTTTCGAAACGCATATGCTTCTGTCAGATCCTTGCTGTCTATCGAGTGTAAGCAAGTGTGTTCTTTAAACAAAATATATAGAAAGCGTTTTTTTTATTTATAAAATATGACAGTGATAAAATACTAGTTAAAACATTAGTGACTCTATTGATAACAAGTAACAATAAAAAACAATCGTGCATGCTATATAATTTAAGTGTTTTTCAAGTCCGTTGCCATATGGTAACACGGGGGGTAATGTGAACTGTTCCTTTTTTACCAAGTTTTGATATGTTTGCTAGCCCGAATTGACCCCGTGTTGCCATATGGCAACGCAAAATATCATCATGTATGAGACAGTGTAAAACAAAATCGTTTGTATGTATTTTTGCAGTTTCGCAGGTGGTTAACTCATTCCAACTAGCCCTGAACTGCCTAATCATATTATCGTATATTTCATTGTACAAGTGTTGAAGTGGTACACAAATGTCGTTTTTCTGTTCCAGGGAAGACTGGTGATGTTTCTTGCATTCTCATCTGCTATTCCATTACCCTAGATTCCCTTGTGACCGGGCACCCAATAGATATGAAGCCTTTTGTCAGCGTCTACCTTTTCAATGGCTTCCCGGCTGCGAGGGACGTTTATGGATGAAATACTATATGAGAAAACTGCCTTAATTGCCGTCTGGAATAGGTTTAATTTTGAATTGATTGTCGTTTCGGTGAAGGCTAGCTCTGCAGTTATCCTAATTGCGAAAACCTGTGCTTGAAATATGCTGCAATGGTCAGGTAGCATTATTGTCCGCCTTACGTTCAGTTCCCGGTAGTAAATCCCGGCACCCACTCACGTAACAATTTTAGAGCCGTCCGTGAAAATGTTTAGGGATCTATGGCTAGGTTTCATTTCCATCCCTCTTCCTCAATCGTTGTGCAAAAAGTTCGTTTCCACTTAAAGCTAGGTGCCATGAAGCCTGTGCTGCCTGTGCTTCCCGCTCCAATTAAGTGGTGTCCAAAGGTTCTGAAATTTAATTTCCCTATGACTGTCAATCTACGTGTGGATTTCGCAGCATGGTTTTTAAAGAGCAGCCGTCGAAGTGGACCTCAGCGCTCCCGTGATGCACAGTGCCGCTAGGCGCTGCACCTTCTCCATTGTGGCGAGACATAAGGACTTTTGTGCGGCATTCCAGCACACCAAAGCGCCATAGAGCACTATTGGACTGACTATTGCCGTGTAGCACCAATGCATCAGAGCAGGTGACAAACCCCAAGTGACTCCCGGCATTCTTTTGCATACATAAAGGGCGTTACTGGCCTTCTTCTCTCTTTCTTCAACATTGCGCATCCACAGCAGCTTACTCTCAAATACTACTCCCAAATACTTTCTGTGGTCTTTAATTGACAGCTCGATACTAAATACTTAGGAGAAACCCACTCCACACTGGGACCTTATATCTTTTTGTGACTACACCACTGACCCATACAAATTGACAAAAAAACTTCGTTGTGCTGGTGAAGCATGTAAAACTATAGGACGAGTAGCCTGTGCAAAATGTAATGTAGGTTTATGTTTGAAATGTTTTGCTACTTTTCATACTAAAAATTAACTTCTTCATCCGCACGTAGAATATGCATATATTATCAATAAATGTATTAAAACTTATAAACAATGTTTCTATGACTTCATATTTTAACCAAATACTGCCCGATAACAATCCATCTGGAATACGCCCCGTGTTGCCATATGGCAACGGCCGATATCGGGAGAACTATACTACTCCCAAAGTTTTAGTCATATTTTTTCCTTTACTTTAACGCTACTTTTACCATGTATATAGATGAAACCAAAAAAATCGAAAAAAATTAATCTGGAACAATTTGGGGTAAGGCAGAAATTTTACCCACTGAGGCTCTGATAGTCCACAATTATCAGGATAACATTTGCAGGTCGATCAGCCGTTATAAAAGGGTGGCAGAACCCCCGAAACGTGTGATGAGAGCAATGAAATTTTTATTATTTTGTTAAGTCTGAAATTTAAATATGTTATTCTGGCAACGATTTAAAGTCTTCAAAATGGCAGATCGAAATTCCGGTATTAACTAACCTGACAAAACGATGTAAATGTCCTTTGCGCGCCTTGATTTCGTATAGCTTGCGGCTAAATTTATTTGACTATGAATTTTTCTAATACAAATATAACTTTGATGTATTATTTAGTATTTTATTAATTAAAACAATCATTTAATAACTTGGCTACAAAACTGCATACCCAAATTAAAATAAAAAAATTCTAAAAAGTGTGCAGTTTTGATGAAATTTTGTTAATTTTTTTAAATTTAATAAGTTGCGTAGTAGGCCTAGCTATCATGCGTCATGCGAAAAGAATACATACTTATGTATATTGAGAAACAGATTTTCGTAAACGTGAAATCATGGCTTATTTTTCTGCTTGCATATTTTGCAACGGAAAAACGATAAAAATATTTTTGTTTTCGACAGAATCTCTTGAAAAATGTAAAAGCAATGGGGATCTAGATTCAGCAGAAGATGTTGCAGAAGATTCCGGTCGGGACGAAGCCGAAGCAGATGTATAGATTACACTACTCAACAAATTTTCAACTTTTGATTTTTACTGGGCTAATGATAGTCGTTTCTAATAGACTTTTGGGTCGCTGAATAACGAATGTAAACCCAGAATTATTCTATCAGATCAGGTTTTTTATATATCCTAACCTAAACATGCGAAAATGCCTATTTTTGAGGCTACGTAGCACAGCACTATTTTTGTTATTGGAAAAAATATACATAGGATTTTAAAAAATATCTTTTGCCCTTTCACATGCCGTTAAGCTTGCTCGAATGTCTTATTTTTAACCGAGCAATTTCGCAATTTTCATACTAACGAGACATTTTTATGCTACACGAGCCTGAAACTGGAGATCAATTCATACGTACATTCAATTAAAAA